AAGATCTAGAACTTTCGAGTGCGAGATCCTTTGCAAATAGTCGTCGCCAGCATATTTCTTCTTCATATTTGCATACGGAGAAGCCGCAGAACGAGGTTTTGTCGACGAGTACCTGTGAGACGTAGGCCAGATGATTGTTGTCGAGATGTTCTATGATTTCGATGTACGCGAGCCGATTGACTTCCTCATAGTCCAAGGATTCCTTCGTTGGTTTTTCTGGATCTTCCAACTTTGGCTTTTTGATGTTTCCTAAGACAACGTCGAGGGCATCGTATTTGCTTAGTTTTGCTACCATAAGAAACGACCAGGTTGAGTAGTTAGAGTCGTTGAGAAGGAGGGGAGTATTGCAAGAGTTAGACATTGTGAGATGAGTGAGATTGAGGTGAAGGTGAGAGGTTTGCGGTTTATTTGAAAGGGAGGCGAAGCGTCGATTTTTGACTGTTAATCGTGAAGAAACTAGAGATTTTGGCGAGAGAGGGTGAAGAGACCTGGGGAAAGAAATCCTCGAGGAAAAGCTCAGAGGAAAAACAAAAAAGGTCTTAGAGCCCGAAAAAGGGCTAAAGGCTGCTAGCTTGCGTGGAGGAAAAGCTCACACGCTACAAGGAGTTGTATCCTGTAGAGACTCCAGGGATCAGTGCGCAGAAGAACAGATGGTTTTCATTTTCTAACTCATAGTATGACTGTTTTATCTACATACAAGTGGGGGCTGAGTTGTGGGACAGAAGGTGAAAAGGAATGAATATTCAACTGGAACTAGAAAAAGAGTGACAGGTGGGAAAAGAGTGATATTGATATGATAGAGAAGAAAGAAGGAGACACGGAATTCCAACACTAGGCCGGAGGGCAGTACCCAGAGGAGGTGGCCGTGGGTGCTGATGGATCAGTCCTGTGGGCAGATCACAATTATGGTTAGCTGGGGGGCCACTGTCAGCCTGGGTGATGCCAAGAGCTTGACTCTTCTAGCTACACCAGGTGCAAAGCTAAGAAAAAATGTGTAAAAGTGTGGGTAACACTTGAAATGGGAGGTGTTTGATATTAAGAAAAGAGATAATAAAAACTGTTAAGTTTTTATAAAGGGAGGGGCCTGAGTTACAGGGGTTTTTATGGTGCCCTCCAAGGAATCAGGACCTGTTAAAAAGGGGTATTTTTGATTTACCTGATGATCTGGTCCTTTGTGTAAAGGAGTATGCCCAGACAAAATGCCTACAACTGAAGTATCAAGGAAATATTACCTACTTAGTACTATTTCCAAGCCAAGGGGACTTCAGGTGGGTGAAAACTGGTCTGGGAGCGCTCAGAAAACTGGGTAACAGGTGGTGAGAGAGTGCTGGGGAACAGTTGATGGTTGGTTGGTTGAAATTCAGGATGAAAAACAGCAGGAACTGGGCCAAAAACAGGTGAAAACTGGTTGTTGGAGGTGGTTATTGCTGGTAAGTGATGATGAAGATGGGGAATTTGAGTTCGTGGTCAAGAAGGGCTCCTTATATACTCATTCTGGGCCCTTGGAGGCAATCTCAGAACTCTGTTTGGCTGGTGCAAGCCTCCTACTAGGCATTGGTGACCTGTAGCACTGCCTAGACACCTGTAGTCCTTGGTTACAGGTGGCAGAGGGCTGAAGTGAGGCTTGTAACACACACTAAGGGGTGCTGTGACGAACCTGCAGCCATTGTTTGGTCACTGGGACCCTTTAATGACCAGTGGGCTGGTCTTAACCAGGCGTAGTTAGCCAAATTGGGCCAAAAAGGGCCACAAATGGCTTTTGACCAGCCAGTTACAGTTGTTGTGACAATGTAGTTAAGGTTTCAATGATGTCAACCTTATTTGTAGATTTTTCCCGAACTGCATGAACCTTAATTACATGTGTAGACCTGTCACAACATGTAGTATGATGTAACTGGCAGGGTTTTTAGCAAAATGAGCAAGTGTCACTCAGAGTACACAGAAGTACCTGAAGGAGTAATAATTCAGGGGTACTTCTGGTGAGGTACCCTAGGTTATTTTGCATGAGAAATAAGAATCTGAAATAATATTCTAACTTTTGCTTAAGGTTTAGAAGTTATTTGTGGATTCATGTTAAAAATGTTTATTTATAAATGTTTTTGGTTTATTTTTATGTTTTCTTTCATGACTAGTAAAACTTAATGTAATGAGTAATAATGTCTCTATTATAGTGATTCCACTTATTTAAACATTAATGTTTTTATATGTACATATGTAATAATGTCTCTATATTATGTACATATAAAATAGACATTAATTACATATGCTATGGGGGTAGTATATGTAATAATGTCTCTAAATATTTATTATGCTATAGTCAGGTTGTCTCTGAATAGTAGCAGGCTGACATTCCCTACCCCTAAGATGAGTTTTCTACTCATAGCAAATATAAGTATTAAAATAGCTTTTTGACAAAGTGTGAAAAAAAATTGGGTTGCAGGCACTTAATTCCTCTTAGAGGCTCTGTAATTCCTCAAGTGAATTGCTCCATCAGGTATATTAGACTCTGGTAACCACTCATCCTTATCTGCGGATTGATTTTTATACCTGACTAAGTAAAGCCTTGTGTCGTTTCCTTGAATTCTTTCTTTCTTTTCTTTCAATATTTTAGACACATGAAGTTTCTCATTTTTACTAGGTTCCATTATTGGGACTGGGGGACATGGCTTTGGCTCAGTATTGTCTCTAGGTGTGTAAGGTTTGACTAGGCTTACCGGAAATACAGGGTGTTTCCTGGAAAGTTCCTCACTCAAGATGACCTCTACGGCATTTTTTCCATGCATGTCTTTGATGGTAAATGGGCCTATGAAGGATGGCTTAAGTTTCTTATTACCTCCCAAATTATTAAAATTCACAGTAGATAATAGAAACTTATCCCCAATTTTAAAGTCTAGTTGTTTATGGCTCTTATCCCATCTGTTCTTGTTATATTCCACTGCTTCTTCAACACACTTTTTGGCATGATTTTGAGTCACATCAAGCATCTTTTTAAAGTCTAAAGCTGTTGGGTGTATATGTGGTAATTTATCATTAAGGGTATCTTTTGGCATTCTTGGGATCCAACCTCTCTCAAGGACATAAGGTACTTCATTCGAGGAAGAATGTTTGCTGCTGTTATATGCAATTTCAAGAGCAGGCAACAGGCTGACCCAATCATGAGTGTAGCCATCATGGTTCTTAAATTCCAAACCAAATGAGCAGAATCTCCTGAGCATATCTTCTAAGGTTTGGATCATCCTTTCAGCCAGCCCATCAGTTTGAGGATGGCAGGCTGTGGAAAAGGCTAATTTAGTTCCCAGCATGTCATGTAGATTCCTCCAAAACTCTGAAGTAAACTTGGGATCCCTATCACTGATGATAATTTTGGGAATTCCCACGTCAGCCATAATTCTGTTCCAAAACAACATGGCTACTTCCATTGCAGTGTCATCTTTATGATTTGGGATAAACCTGGCTCTCTTGGAGTACCTGTCTACCACTACTAGGACAGAATTATAAGAGTAGGCTCCTCCAGGAGGTAATCCTGTGACAAAGTCCATATTAATTATTTCCCACTTAGTACTGGGTTCAGTAATTTTCTGGAGTAGCCCATATCTTTTCCCTGTTTGTTTATTTGATTTCTGACAAATTTCACAAGACTTGACATAATTGGTGACTTGGGATCTCCAGTCTAACCACCAGGCAGTATGTTTTATCCTTTCCACTGTTCTGTCTTCAGAAAAGTGGCCAGAATTAACATTATCATGGCATTCATAAAGAATGTTGTCAATTTGTGCTTGGTCACAGAGTACTAAAACACTAGAGTGTCTGTTTCTGTAGTACAGCAATCCATCCAATAAGGTGAATTTTCCTTCAGCATAAGGTTTTGCCAAATTAGGGGGCAGGCTAGCAATTAACTCAGGGGAACTATTTTCATTGCTTAAGATGTCAACTAATTTTAACAGTTCAATATTATCCTTATAGCTGTCTTGGACTAAGTTGTAAAAGGCTATATCCAAATCACACACATGAATACCTAAAATTGGAAGAATGTCCTCATCTTCAGGATCCCAGGCTGGGTTATCAGGTGTGTTGGGCAAGGCCCATCTACTAAGCCCATCTGCATTTCTATGTTTAATGCCAGCTTTGTGAACAATGGTCATGTGTCCTCTGTATTGTTGAATAGCAATTTGCCACCTGAGCATATGTCTGTTAGGTGTTTTCATATTCATGAGGGTTTTAACTGCTGTGCAATCAGTGACTACTACAACTTTTGTGCCTTCCAGGTAATAGTGTAATTTCTCAAGTGACCAGACTAATGCTAAGCATTCCATTTGACTTGCTCCATATTTTCTTTCACTTTATTTGATTTGTCTAGAGATAAACAGAACTGGTTTCTCAGTTGGAATATCATCAATTTCAAATTCTTGGTGCAAAGCTGCGCCCAAACCATCTAGACAAGCATCTATATAAAAAATAAATGGTTTGGTATAATCAGGTTGGGCCAAAACAGGAGCAGTGGTCATAAGATGTTTAAGCTGCTCATAATCTTGGACACGGGAATATGTCATTTCATATATTACATCTTTACTACAAATTTCATAAAGACTATGAGTAATGTTGGCAAATTTGGGGATATGTTGCCTATAGTAGCTACAAAAGCCTGTAAATGATTGCATTTCTGTAATATTCTGGGGCATGGGTTTTAACAAGACAGCTGCTACTCTGTGCTGATCTATGGCTAAGGTTAAACCTGAAACTATGCGTCCCAATGCTTTAAGCTCTCCATAACCAAAATTACACTTTTTAATGGACATCTTGAGGCCAGATTCTACGGCCATTTCAAGCACAGAAGTAATTTTTTCCAGATGTGTGGGCCAAATTATCAGAATAAATGATAATGTCATCTATGTAGACCATCATCCAATTTTGACGGATGAAGCTCCCAAATATAGAGTCCATCATCCTTTGAAAATGGGATGGTGCATTTTTAATTCCAAAAGGCATTCTGAGGTACTCATAAACACCTAAGTGGCATATAATGCGCATAAATTGTCTGCTATTTGGTTCAATAGGTATTTGATGGAATCCCTTAAGCACATCCATAGTGGTGATATATTTTGCCTTAGACAAATTATGTACAGAGTGGTCAATCCTAGGAATGGGATAATTATCAGCTTTGGTGTAATTATTCAAAGCTCTAAAGTCTCCAACCATCCTGGACTTCTCATTATGCCATGCAATAATTACAGGAGTAGTAATTTCTACCTGCTCATTAATATTATGGCCCACTTTTCTTATAACTTTAAGATCCAAAAGTTCTTTGATATGAGTTTCCAAAGCCACTCTGGATTTTGGGCTAGAAGGATAAGGGGCTCTTCTAAGGGCAGGAGGGTACAGAGGTTGACAAGTTAATTCTAACTTGATGTCATGTCCTTTGACATTTCCAATGGGCTCTTCTGTTGTACAGAAAGCCTCTTTATATTTGTAGCATATTTTTAAGACATCTTTTTTCTGCTCTTGGTTTAGTATATCACTCACAGCTGCTTGTGACAGATACTCTTTATCAAACTCAATAAGTTCCTTTGTCAGGCAAGATACTTCTTTGATTGGCTCAGGTATTTTAATGTTCACATTACAAATCTGGAATTTTCTTTTCCAGTCTCCACCAATGGTATAGTATCTATTTTTGCTCTGAAAAATGTCTATTCCATACAGCAGAAAGTATCATTTCCCAAAATAAAATATTCACATAAAGCATCTTGTAAAACAACAAATTCAACATT